AGTTGAACCAGAAACCTTGTTGTTAGGAGCATGTGCTCTCACCAGCTGAGCCATCCTGCCACCTGTTGGCAGCTCAGCGGCAGCTCGGCTCTGGCACAGCTCACTGGCTCATGTGGGAATCAAACCGGCAACCCTGTTGCTCAGAGCTCACACTCTTAACCAACTGAGACCCTCGGTCAGCCCAAAACTAAATTTTTAACAATAGGTAACATACAGTGCTTTAGGCTTTGCATATAATTAGTCATTTAATCCTCACAAAACTTTTATAAGTTAGCTTACTACTGTTTCCATTTTATAGACGAGGAAACAAGCACAAAGAGGTTTAAATAACTCGCCCAAAGTCACATATCTAGTAAGGGGTGGAAACTGAATTTCAATTTATGCAGTTTCAGTTGATAGTCTTCGCTCTTAGTTCCCCACAACTATACTTCCTCTAAAGCATAAAAGGGAGGGATAGGAACTCAGCACCATCTTATCCTTTGGCTCTCTTCTCACCTTCAACCAAAACTTGGCTAATGCTGAGCAGTAGGTACTAGGTAGGAAATCTATCCATGCTTTTTATGGAGGTACTTCTCATTAAGGTATGTATACTGGAACAGATTCATTTAAAAGCAAAACTGGGATCAGTAAAACAGATGCTTTGATGTGCTATATAACCAGCTAGACTCTAATACAGTGCTCAGAAAATAACTAGTCAGTTGGGGAAAATAAGTAAGGGCTATACAATATTTGAATGTCATTTAACAAATGTTATATAAAGTGCTTGAAATGGTACCTGGCACTTAGTAAGTTCCACGATGTTGAGTATTAATATGTATAAACAGAATTATACCTATATTTCTAGACTATATTTACTGGTTGGTATTAGAAGTTGACAGCCACAAAAATCTATACAAACTGAAAATTTGGATCCCATGTGCAAATAATTTTAGTTAAATAAATAATTAAAAATAGATTTGTTTTAGATATTTTGCAGCTCTTACTACATACAGTGCCTGACACGTAACGGTGCTTAAGTATGTTGGATGAAGAAAAAAAGAAATTAAATGGAAATTCTAAACTATTTAGAGTGATGAACAGGAGCATGACAATAGAAAATCCTTGGTGGCATGATCTAAAGTATGCTTTGAAGAAAATGTATAGCCTTAAATACACTCATTAGAAATCCCCCAAAAATCAAACTACAGTGAAACAAATACAAAAATTCACAAATTTCCATAAAAGTGGAAAGTAATAAAAACATTGACCAATAAAACCTAGTGATTGTCAAAGAGCAAAATATTACACAGTATCTGTTTGATAATCAAAATAATAATGTGAATTTTAGGATATGACTTGCTTAAGTGACCTTTGTTTGAGGGACCAGACTAACAGTCATATAGGTTACTTTTAAAATCTAGTCTGGAAAGAGCAGCTGAAACATATCAGAACATAGTTCACAGGATCCGCCTCTTCTCAACCAGTTGATTGATGGCCAACAAGGATGTAGCAGAAGATATCTTGACCAAGAAGTCAGAGCTATAGGCCCAGGTCTCCATTTCCTGAGTGAGAGCAGGATGGGGAGACACTGCTGTTAGAGCACCCCAGCTTGCTTTGTGGTAAAAATGACTGACTAGATAAATTCTTATGGATTCTTTCTGGGTTTAAAATGCTTTAGTTTCTTGAAATTGGCATTTCCAATAAACGTGAGTAAAAGTAACTTTGTTTCTACTTTTTATGTTTTAATTACAATAAAACTTAGCCTATAATAAATCAAAGCAAAACCAAGTTGGTCACTGATCAAAACATGGAAATGACTTTCTCTACTTACTATCATATCTTTAGAAAATGTCCAATATAAAAATACTTTATATTCATGTTCTTTCTTTTTCATGTTCCTCCTGTGTATCTTCTGATTTTTCCCTATATGGTATGATCAGAGGAAATAAAAGGATTAAAATGCAAGCTATTTTTGCTAATTTCAAACTTTTTAACATTAAAATATTTTTAATAGCTGTAGCTTTTAAATAGTTACTTTAAAAATAATTCCATGGGGGCCGGCCGAGTGGCGCGATGGTTAAGACTCGCTTGGGATGCCAGAGGGCCTCGGTTCGGATCCCACATATGAGGGCCAGAGACACTGCCCTCTACAGCTAAGATGCTGAACAACAGCTCAACCTGGAGCTGGGCTGCCATGGGTCACCGGCGACGGCGTGGGCTGCAGTCCCTGTGGCAGTGGATTGCCATGGGCTACCGTGTGTGGCCAGCAGCCAGCGTGAGCG